GTGCGTGTGCGTGTGCGTGTGCGTGTGCGTGTGCGTGTGCGTGTGCGTGTGCGTGTGCGTGTGCGTGTGCGTGTGCGTGTGCGTGTGCGTGTGTGTGTGCGTGTGCGTGTGCGTGTGCGTGTGCGTGTGTGTGTGTGTCTACCCTTGGAGGCCAGAAGAGGGTGTTGGATCCCTTAGTCACATGAATTTTTAGCCACTCAGTGTGGATTCTGGAATCTGAACTTTGGTCATCATGAACTGCTCAGCAACCCCCCCCCCCCCCCAAGAGGGTTTCATGTAGCCTAGGTGTCTTGAATTCCTGATCTTGACTCAGCCTCCCAAGTGCTGGAATTAGAGGCATATGCCACCTAGCCTGTTCTGGGGGAAGTCTTTGGGTGTGTTTGTGGGGTTTATTGAGTTAATTGTTGAAGCTATAACCACTGTGGATCACTACCTGGGATCCTGGACTGTATAAACCAAGAAAAAGAGCCAGGCAGTGGTGGTACACACCTTTAATTCCAGCACTTGAGAGACAGAGGTAGGCAGATCTCAGTGAGTTGGAGGCCAGCATGGTCAACAGATCCAGTTCTAGGACAGTCAGGGCTACACAGAGAAACCCTGTCTCAAAAAAAAAAAAAAAAAGAAAAGAAAAAGAAAGAAAGAAAAAGATAAAAAGAAAAGGAATGCAGGGACGGCATGCCCTTCACCATTTACTTCATAGCTCAGGATACTTTGTGAGCAGCTGCTTCAAGCCCTTATTGTCTTGAATTCCCCACTACAGTGTCCTGTACCCTTGAATGTGAGCTGGAAAAAACACATACATTGCTTTTGTCAGAGTATTTTATCATAGCAACAGTAGAATAAACTTGGACACCTTCGTGCATAGATACATCTCAGTTCATCCATCCATTCATTGACAGGCACTAGTACAATTAGTGCCCTTAAGATGATGCTCGGAGAGTAGCACCCTAGTCCTCCTGGCTCCTTCCATGTGAGAACGCAGTGTTCATTCTTGTCTGTCCTTGCTTCTTTGATGTGTGAGGGATGCTTACACATGGTGCCTTAGTCATGATCCTGCTTGAGCTTTCATCCTGGACTTTCCAGCTTCGAAGCAATAAATTTCTACTCTTCATTATACCCAGCCTGTGGTACTTTGTTATGGCAGCAGGAACGGACAGGTTTTAATTTGCATTTCCATGATGACAAATGATGTTGGGTGTGCATTTTCTCATGTGGCAATATGTTACTTGTGTATCCTCTTTAGTGAAATGTATGCTTGTGTCTTTTGTCCGATTTTTTTTTTTTTTCGAGACAGGGTTTCTCTGTGTCTTCGGGGGCTGAGTTGGAACTAGCTCTTGTAGACCAGGCTGGGCTCGGACTCACAGAGATCCATCTGTCTCTACCTCCCGAGTGCTGGGATTAAAGGCGTGCACCACCACTGCCCGGCTCCGATTTTTTTCCCTTTGGTTTCTTGTCCTTTTATTCTTGAATGGCAAGAGTTCTTTATTTTGGGTATACATCCTTCATCAGAAAATATTTCTTCCCAGCTTGTGGCTTTCCTGTTGCATGTGTGAGTGTTCTCTCGTGTGTATGTGTGCATGCCTGTGAATGTGCGTATGTGTATAAATGTGGGTGGCAGAAGTCAACCTCAGTGTTGTTCTTCAGGAGCTGTCCATCTTTGCTGGGACCTGGGGCTCACCAATTAGTATAGGCTGTCTGGCTAGTGAGATCGGGGACCTATGCATGTCTGTGGGACTACAAGAACATGCCACTGTGCCTAGCTGTTACATATGACTGTTGGGGCTCAGACACAGTCCTTATGTGTTCACAACATGCACTTTACTGGCTAGGCTATCTCCCCAGCATCACAACACCCCCATCCATGCTGCTTTTTGTTGAGACAGGGTCTTATTTGTGTAGCCCAGGCTGGGCTTGCCAGGCTGGCCTCAAATTCAGAGATCTCCCTGCCTCTGTCTCCCAAGTGCTGGGATTAAAGTTGTGTGCTTGGGTTTGCAGTCTTTTTTTTTTAAGATTTTATTTATTTATTATGTATACAACATTCTGCTTCCATGTATATCTGCACACCAGAAGAGGGCACCAGGTCTTATAACAGATGGTTGTGAGCCACCATGTGGTTGCTGGGAATTGAACTCAGGACCTCTGGAAGAGCAGCCACTGCCTCTGAGCCATCTCTCCAGCCCCCGGGTTTACAGTCTTAAGCCTCGTGTTTTAGCCCCCTGAGTGCTGGATTACAGACCTGTACCACATTGTTTGACCACAAATAAACAAGACCTGAGATATCTCTCTGTGTCTCTCTGTCTCTCTCTCCTCTTCTTTCTGGTAGCACTGAGACAAAAATAGGGCTTGCTCATGTTGGGCAAATGCTTTCCCACTGAGCTACAACTCCACGTCTCCTTCTATTCTTCCCTCCCTCCCTTCCTTTATCCCCCCCTTTTTTTCTTCCTCTGTCTCTCTGACTTTTTTTTTAATACAAAAATTTGAAATTTTGCTATGTAGCCCAAGCTGGCTTCTAACTTGGAGCAACCCTCTTGCCTCAGTTTTCACTATTTAAATGTATTGTTTCCTTTTAGGGGTTGTAACAATTTACTTACATTTATGGTATAACTTAAAATTTCAATTTTGTGTATGGTGTGAGGTAGGGACTGAGTACTTCCCTCCACACTGTGCAAAACCATTGTTTGCTCACCCGTTTGTTGGTGATCTAATAAAGAAAACATCAGTTGGCTTTGATAATTTTCAAAAGTTCAGCACTAGTAAAAACATTTCTGTGGTCAGGTGTGGTGGCACATGCCTTTAATCTCAGACTTCAGAAGGCAGAGGCAGGTGGATCTCTGTGAATTCCAGGCCAGCCAGGACAACATAGTGAGATCCTGTCTCCAAACCAAAATTAAAAATAAAAACAAACAAACAAACAAACAAACAAGCAAACCCCATTTCCCAGTTTTTCTCTACTTTAAATGCGGCCTGCGGTCTATCCATATCACATTACTGGGGGCCTGTCAGAAACGCAAGCTGATAGCACTCCACCCCACAAGCCTCAGGTGGCTCATAGACAGGACAATTTGAGGAACACTGGGGTACGTGATACTTGAGAGATGAGGGAAAATGTCTTAGTGACATTTGCTGCCTCTCACAGCTGCAAGGGTTGTCTACCGACTACCTCTCCGGAACATGTGTATCCTAACGCTCACAGCAGGCACTGTGATGTTCTTAGTGATATGTTTGAGGGGAGGGGACACAGCCACCAGGCCACTCCTCAACCTCCAAGATCCCCAGCCACCCTCCTGCTGGTTCCGGAACACATCTTTCAATTCCTGAGCCTCAGTTTCCTCAACTGGAGCGAGGAAATAATTTTGGTGTCTGTATCTGGGGCTAACGCCGTGTGATCCCAGGAGTACGTGGGGGCAGAGAGAGCACAATAGGAGCCAGCTATTTCGGAGCTCATCCCCTGGGTGAAGCCCCTGGACACTAGTCTTTTTTCATTCAGCCCCACCCCCTCCCACCCAGGCAGAATCCAGCCGCCTTCTTCCCAGCCGTATTTCTCCTCCCTCGCTCCTCCCCGTCCCCAGGGCAGCGTGCACCGATAAATCTTTCGAAGCACGCAGCATTGTTGCAGCGGGTTGGCCTGGCTGCTGCGGGGTGCCCACCCCTCCCACCCCGCGTTCGGCTTGCTAATGTCCCAGTGCAGCCTCTCGGCCTCGATCGGCTTTGAAGCTCCAGCCCCTGGCACAGTGCCTGGCACTTGCAGGCGCTTAATCAATGTTTGCAAAATCGGATTCTCGCCGGAGCAGGTGTCCACCGGGAGCCGGCTGCGCGCGGGGCGGGGGCTGCTAGGGGGCCG